TCTGAATTTCAGATCATTCTGTCCAACTGATCTAAACTATTTTCTTGCCAATTTTTTATTAAGTACTGTTATTGAAAATGTAACTTGTCTTCGTGTGTGCTATGCTTATGACTCTGGAAATGTTTTAAGTCCTGAGCTCCACAGATTTAAAGTATATCATCCAGGTGCCCCTTCTATTTGTCTCGTACTATCCTTTTTCATTTTCACTTTAAAATTGTCCATGTTCTTATTAGCATCCTTTCTCCTTTCCTGAAGCGCTTTGTGCATTCAAAAATCTGTTATCTCTACCTTTTTTAAAAGTAATAGTAAAAACTTTGTTAAAGATTACGGCCTATAGATCTTGCTTTTTTGGGGTGTTTCCTCCGTATGGAAGCTCGGACCTTTTTTTTTTTTTTTTTTTTTTCTGGGATTGCATTGCAGTAAGGCAGTGTTTTTCAACCTTTTTTGTGCAAAGGCACACTTTTTTCATGAAAAAAATCACGAGGCACACCACCATTAGAAAATGTTAAAAAAATTTACCTCTGTGCCTATATTGACTATATATAAAGTAATTCTCTTGAATAGGAATCAAACACAAAGAAATTATTTTATAATTACTTTATTATGAAATAATAAAGTATTTTATAATTGGACCCGGGGGCCGGACCAAGAGTAGATGAATGATGTGTATGTGTCATCCATAGTAAGTATAGTAATATTCCCCCATAGTAAGCATAGTAATTAATCCCCCATATAGTAATTCATCCCCCATAGTAATTAATCCCCCATATAGTAATTCATCCCCCATAGTAATTCATCCTCCATATAGTAATTCATCCCCCATAGTAATTCATCCCCCATAGTAATTCATCCCCCATATAGTAATTCATCCCCCATAGTAATTCATCCCCCATAGTAATTAATCCCCCATATAGTAATTCATCCCCCATAGTAATTAATCCCCCATATAGTAATTCATCCCCCATATAGTAATTCATCCCCCATAGTAATTCATCCCCCATATAGTAATTCCCCCCATAGTGTAATTCATCCCCCATAGTGTAATTCATCCCCCATAGTAATTCATCCCCCATAGTAATTCATCCCCCATATAGTAATTCATCCCCCATATAGTAATTCATCCTCCATATAGTAATTCATCCCCCATAGTAATTCATCCCCCATATAGTAATTCATCCCCCATAGCAATTCATCCCCCGTATAGTATTTCATCCCTCGTATAGTATTTCATCCCCCGTATAGTATTTCATCCCCCGTATAGTATTTCATCCCCCATATAGTATTTCATCCCCCATATAGTATTTCATCCCTCATATAGTATTTCATCCCCCATATAGTAATTCATCCCTCATATAGTATTTCATCCCTCATATAGTATTTCATCCCCCCATATAGTATTTCATCCCTCATATAGTATTTCATCCCCCCATATAGTATTTCATCCCTCATATAGTATTTCATCCCTCATATAGTAATTCATCCCTCATATAGTATTTCATCCCCCCATATAGTAATTCATCCCTCATATAGTATTTCATCCCCCCATATAGTATTTCATCCCCCCATATAGTATTTCATCCCTCATATAGTAATTCATCCCTCATATAGTATTTCATCCCCCCATATAGTATTTCATCCCCCCATATAGTATTTCATCCCCCCATATAGTATTTCATCCCTCATATAGTAATTCATCCCTCATATAGTATTTCATCCCTCATATAGTATTTCATCCCTCATATAGTATTTCATCCCCCATATAGTATTTCATCCCCCCATATAGTATTTCATCCCCTCATATAGTATTTCATCCCTCATATAGTATTTCATCCCCCCATATAGTATTTCATCCCTCATACAGTAATTCATCCCTCATATAGTAATTCATCCCCCATATAGTATTTCATCCCTCATATAGTATTTCATCCCCCCATATAGTATTTCATCCCTCATATAGTAATTCATCCCCCCATATAGTATTTCATCCCCCCATATAGTATTTCATCCCCCCATATAGTATTTCATCCCTCATATAGTAATTCATCCCTGATATAGTAATTCATCCCCCATATAGTATTTCATCCCCCCATATAGTATTTCATCCCTCATAAAGTAATTCATCCCTCATATAGTATTTCATCCCCCACAGTACTATTCCCCCCCCCCCCTTCTAGTAAGCCAAGTCCCCCGTGTCAATTCACTTACCTTTTGCGTTCCTCTCGCTGTCTTCCCGCGCCGTTCGGGTCTTCAGGGCGGACTGTGAGAGGAGCCTAGCTCCCCTCCCCTCACGTTCGGCACGCTGCCCCGCCTACACACATCCTGACAGCCACATCCGCAAGCCGGATTAAAAGGTCCGCGCGGACTTTTGGGGCTGCCAACCGAGAGGAGGCAGGGGAGCGGCCGACCGAGAGGAGGGAGGGGAGCAGGCGCCCGGCACACAGAAGAGCCGCATTAGACTGGGTAAAGAGCCGCATGTGGCTCGCGAGCCGCGGCTTGCCGACCACTGAATCATTAGATTCTAATGATTGGTCTATTTGTGAGCCGAAGCCACATGTTACAGATGAAATTGGAATTTTTCCCACGGCACACCAGACAATATCTCACGGCACACTAGTGTGCCGCGGCACAGTGGTTGAAAAACGCTGCAGTAAGGGATAGCTATGAATCTGTTGCCAGATTACCCTGGCTGGTTCCTTTTGGGAATTTACCAAACGTGATTGTTTAGTTTGTATCTTTCTCTGAGACTTGAATGTTGCTCTGTATTAAAAAAAAAAAAATCGAGACTGGCCTCTATGCTGCAGATGTCCCACGTTGGCTCTAAGCCAGAGACCACTTCTCCGTCTGTGCAGAGCAGTGACTGTCAATCACTGCTCTCCACTGTCACTGTTTTTAAATCCACCTGTAGTAATCCAAACGTTTACAAAGGTTCCAAAGTTGGTCCAGTATTGGATTGAAATATTTTGCCATTTTGTATTCTGCCAGTTTCAGGCTATTCTTGTATTGTGGCCATTGTTTTTCCTACATGTTGTGTGGCATTTGCTTCTTTCTACCTGAAAATCCCAAGCTATACAGGGGTGTGGAAATTTTTTTAAAAACTACTTGTCCATGGACTAAATCGGTGTCCCAATCTACTTGGCTTGATAAAAAAAAAAAAAAAAATTGTAACCAAAACCATATTTAAATCTGCTTTCAGTATTGTATAGGGCTTTTAAAAACAAAAGGGGCTTTATGGCAACTTAAACGGTTAATATTTTTTAACATTGTGCTGTTTATCTCCCCCCCTCCCTGCCTGTCTCCAGCACCGCAGCCGGGGACTAGCAGGGAGGGAAGAGACCTTGCAGTGTAATGAGCACCAATTGGGTGCTCCTCTGGAAAGGGAGTGTCAAGTTTATCCTTTATCCCTTTCACTGCCAGAACTGTTTTTGCGACTTTTGCACAAGTTTAAAAAATAATTTTAGGCCTGAAGATTACACAAAACCCCCAAACATATATTTTCTGAAAGCAGAGACCCTAAAGAATAAAATAGTGGTAGTTCCAATTTTTTTATGTTGCATAATGTTATCACAAAGTTCTAGGAAACACAGTTTCCTTTAAAAAACAAACAAAAAAAATAAAATTTTAGGGCTCATAAAGCAATAAATTATCCTTTTTTTTTTTTTTTTTTTTTTTTTTTTAAAAAGGTGAGGTTGCATGGAGTAAATATCCAACATGTCAAAACCTTAAATTTGCGCACGCTCGTGAAATGGCAACAAACTTTAGTAACCCTATATTTTCTATAGGTGACGCTTTTAAAGCCCCTTAAAGGTAATCCCTTTACGTTACGGAGGAGGTCTGGTGCTAGAATTATTGCTCTTATTTTGGCATGTGTGGTGATGTGTAACGTGTATCACAATTGTCGTTTTCATGCGTTGTTGCACCGGCACTTTGTATGTGTGTACAAATGCAAAGGGGGGGGGGGTGCATATGCTTGGGTGTAACTTTAATTCTTGAAATATTAAAAAAAAAAATTATAGAGATAATATAATCTATATATAATATCTCTCTATATATAATATATATCTATCTCACATGTGGGGTTTTTTTTTTTTTGTTTTGTTTTTTTTTTTGAGACATCCAGGGCAGGGTGGATTTGATTTAAATCACTAATGAAAAGGCTCAATTTAAATCATAATTTTTAAAGAGCAACTGCCATCTCTGTCCCTCAGCGGCTCCTCCTCTGACCAGCTGCTGACTCACCGACAGTCTCATTCACTTTAATGGGATGACTGGTGATGTGACAGTGGCACAACAAGGTGAGGGACGTGGATGCCTGTCAACAGGCGCTGCCATGATGGATCTAAAACGACAGGTGCTCTTTAAATTTAAGGAATCCGACTCATTCTTGCTGTTAGAATCTTTATTTGCAAACCAAATAAAGGTTTCCTTTTTAAAATAAGCTGTAAGGTAGTAAAAGCAATATCAGAACTGATTTTAGGGTAATCACACATAGCTGGAGAACCACTCAAATTCTTTTATTTCATGTTTTTTCACATGGTTACTGTGAAATTGTGTGAATGCATCAATGCATTGCATGTTCTCTCAGCAGAGCTTGGTTTCATTGAATGAGTTGACCAAAAATTTAAATATTGCGGAATATACAGCCTCATGCTACATAACTAAGCTCCATTTCATGCTGAATAAACAAAATTGTTAATGTTCTTAAATAGAAAACTATCTTTTAGATAGTGGGCAAGGTCGGGACTCTGTTCAGGCCCATAGAGTTCTTCTACCCCAAACTCTTATCCATGTCTCTATGGACCTTGCTTTGTGCACTGGTGCGCAGTCATATTGGAACAAGAAGGGGCCTATACCCCAAACTGTTCCCACAGAGTTGGAAGCATGAAATTGTCCAAAATATCTTGGTATGCTGATGCCTTAGGAGTTCCCTTCACTCGAACTAAGGGGCCAAGCCCAACCCCTAAAAAAACAACCCCACGCCATAATCCCCACTACACCAAACTTTACACTTGGCACAATGCAGTCTGGCAAATGCCGTACTCCTGGCAACTGCCAAACCCAGATACAGAGAATTGTGATTCATCACTCCAGAGAACACATCTCCATGGCTCCAGAGTTCAGTGGCGGCGTGCTTTACACCACTGCATCCAACGCTTTTTTTATTGCACTTGGTGATGTAAGGCTTGGATGCAGCTGCTTGGTCAGGGAAACCCATTCAGTGATGCTTTTTACGCACTGTTGTGCTAATGTGAAGGCCATATGAAGTTTGGAGGTCTTTAGCCTTTGACTCTGCAGACAGTTGGCGACTTCTGCAAATTGTGCGCTGACCCCACTCTGTCATTTACGTGGCCTAACACTTCGTGGCTCAGTTGCTGCTGTTCCCAATTTGTTATAATGCCACTAACAGTTGACCATGGAATATTTAGTAGCAAGGAAATTTTACGGATGGACTTATTGCACAGGTGGCAACCTATCACAGTACCACGTTTGAATTCACTGAGCTCCTGAGAGCGACCCATTCTTTCACAAATGTTTGTAGAAGCAGTCTGCATGCCTAGGTGCTTGATTTTATTCACCTGCCCTGGAACACCCAAATCCAATGATTAGTGTGTGTTCGTTTTATAATATAATGCACAATACTGGTAAACATTTAGTTATAATTAGGGATGCAAGGACATTTTGGTGGTCAAAACGTTTTGGTCAAAAACACCCGTTTCAACCAATAGGGATGATACTGATACATGTGCCGAAAAAGCCTCGCCGCAGCCGCCACCGGCCGGCGCTCACTAGTTCAAAGCCTTACCTGAGAAACCATTGAACGATCCCGGCACTGCGCATAGAGATTAGTGAAGGAAAGATGTCCTCCACTCATCTCTATGCCCTTGGAGGACCAGAGCGATGTCACTACCGGTTCTGGCCATTTTTTAAAATCATTTTTAAACACTAGATCAATGCTTTTTGGGTTTTTTTTTTTTTTTTGGGGGGGGGGGGGGTTAAATATCTAATGCTCTAAATTGTAGAGCAGAGATGTGGGGTCCTATTGACCCCATATCTCTCCATAAAGAGGACCTGTCACTAATTATTTCTCACAATGGATTCATGCATTCCTTGTGATAAGAATAAAAGTGATTAAAATTTTTTTTAAAGGGACAGTGCAAAAAAAAAAAATTAAATTCATTAAAAAAAAAAAAAAGATTAAAGTGCCCCTGTTCTCGCATGTAGTGGTGAACGCATACATAGGCCATGCCCACATATGTAAATGGTTTTCAAACTACACACGAGGTATCACCAAGTCAGAGCAATAATTCTAGCACTAGACCTCCTCTGTAACCTTACACTACTAACCTGTAGAAATTTTTAAAGCATCGCCCATGGAGATTAAGTACTGCAGTTTCACACCATTCCACGAGCGTGCGCAATTTTAAAGTGTGGTATGTTGGTTATCTATTTACCTGCCGAAACATCCTTTTATATTTTAAAAAAAAATTGGGGCATATATTTTTATTTATTTTTTTTAAATCGAAGTGTATTTTTTTCCAAAAATATATTTTTAAAAACTGCGCATTTCTGATTTCGGCCAAGTGCATTTTGAATTTTCAATAAAGCTAAAACAGTGCAGCGCTAAAAACGAGTATATCAATGAAAATTAAAATATTTCTATAAACTCATAAAAAGCCCGATATTAACTACATGATAAATAAGAATGCAGCAAATATATTCAAATAAAGTGACAAAGTGACTCAAAACCCCCAAAGCTAGTATGCAGGGTGACGGTAAGAGTTCCAGATAAACTATGATAGATGTGACCGCTTTTCTATCCCAGTGTGGGATAATATCTGGTGAAAAATGGTAAGATTGCACACTAACCGGAAGCGCAATCTTAATGCGCATAGATCGAACGTATCAACGGAGGTCTCCTAAAGGGTACAGCCTGGTACAAGATCCCCTCCTCCATAGATGTGGGTATTAAAGATGTCAGTCAGAGGGCCCTTTTAATGGGTTGTCTGCAACAGTGTCTGGTCATAGGCTTCCCTCTGGTCTGGGTAGATCACCTGGGGTCCTGGGATGGGGTTTAATTGCTCGGTGCAGAGCAAGAAATATAGATGCCCATAGTGTAGTATGTAGCCGTATTTATTAGGCAAGTACTAAAATTAGAGCATAGATAGCTGTAAACATACATAGGGTATCTATGCTCTAATTTTATTAACTAATAATAAACCCCAGGTGATCTACCCGGACCAGAGGAGGAAAGCCTATGACCAGACCCTGTTGCAGACAACCTGTTAAAGGTGCCCTCTGATTGACATCTCTAATACCCATATCTTCAGAGGAGGGGATCTTGTACCAGGCTGTACCCTTTAGGAGACCTCCGGTTGATACGTTCGATCTATGCGCATTAAGATTGTGCTTCCGGTTAGTGTGCAATCTTACCATTTTTCACTGGATGATATATTATCTCGCACTGGGATAGAAAAGCGGTCACATCTATCATAGTTCATCTGGAACTCTTACCGTCACCCTGCATACTAGCTTTGGGGGTTTTGAGTCACTTTGTCACTTTATTTGAATATATTTGCTGCATTCTTATTTATTATCTAGTTAATACTGGGCTTTTTATGAGTTTTTAGAAATATTTTAATTTTCATTGATGTGCTCATTGTTTTTAGCGCTGCACTGTTTTATCTTTATTATTTGTTGGAAAGGTTTGTGGTTCCTTTTTGGTGCAATTGGCTGCTATTGTATGCGCACGCTAGGTTCCTACACTTATTCTTTTTTTTTTTTTTTTTTTTTTTTTTTTTTTTTTTTTCTTATTTTGAATTTTCAGGTTCGGCACCAGAATTTTCATTTCGGTGCACAACTAATTGTAATGTTTTCTGTTACCTCCAATCTATCATCCACCAACTTCTCTGGGTTCTTCCCTGCACAGAACCCTTAACCTCTTTGCGCCGGCCGCATGTAAATGTGCGGCCTCCCGGCGTCTGGGCCTTGACGCCCGAGCGGCCGCACATTTGCGTGCAATTAAGAAAACCCATATGTGCTGAGAGCGCGTGCTCCCAGCACACATGTCCGGTACTCACAGAGAGGTCCCAATCTCCTCTTGCGATCGGGGCCTTTCCCAATCATGCGACAGCGAATCACGGCAGTCACGTGACCTTAAGGCCCTCCCCAGCTTCTGAAACCCTTAAAGGGCCGGGAGGTGCCGGCACCAAGGGGTTAAATTGATTGGAAACGTGTGTGGGTTTTTTTTTTTTTTTTTTTTTTTACAATCTCTTCATATTTACCTGCTCTGTGTAATGGTTTTGCACAGAGCAGCTCTTATTCTCTCTTCTGAAGACCTCCACTGGTGCTTCTGGCTCCTTTTTGCTTTTTAGAGTGCCCCTATAGCAAGCCACAAAGTATAGTATGCCCCTATAGCAAGGTAAAACTTCTGCCTTTAGAAAATCGCTCACTTCCTTCTGCCCAGGGCTACATGTCATGGGGCATTGCTCCTCACACTTTCTCAGGCTCTTATGCACTTACTGACTTACTGACATGTATGGACAGTGTGCTGCACTCTGTATACTGACATGTATGAATGGTGTACTGAGCTGTTTTTGGCTGACCAACTAATCAAATATAAAAAGTAGTTTACAACTATTTTCATAATCGATTGATGATTTAGTTGTATCAGCCCTTGCTGTAACTGCTTATAAAGTGTTAGCTGGAGTTTGGTTTCAATTTGTTAGTGTATCTAAATATGCTAGTATGTTTGACACACCCACCTTCTCTTCTCTCCCCCCCCCCCCCCCCCATTCTCAGATTTACCATGCTGCTGTCCAGAGGTTCCCTAATACTGAAGGTGTTACTAGCCAGATCACCTGGTGAAAACGGGTTGGTGGTGGGGGGGTCCAGTCTAAAGAACGAATGCAGCCACCATATCTGATGATTGTAAGCTGCAATATATTTTTTGGTTTTGTGCTCAATACCGCTTTAAAGTATGTCCATTTGTATACTTTTTTTTTTTTTCCTTTCATTCTTTGCAAGTATCTTCTTGCTGTTTATACACAGTGCCTTTTTCCCTTCCTGCCCCTTTAAATTTAAACTTTGTTTTCAAATACGTTAAGAGATGTCATTCAAAAATTTTTACAACAGGACTTATTTTAATTCTGATATTTTCTTAGATTTGATCATTTTGATATTAAAGATTTGAATGCTCTCTGTTTTGTATCAAGAAAATCGATCTGTGAAAGAATGGTGTTTCATCCAGCAAAAGTATAGCATTGAAAATGCTGAATTTCTGATATTTTGTGTTCGCTGAATTTCCTCTGGCTAGTGTTATGTTGGGTCTTAGATGAGACCATTTCTTGAACTGTTTTTAAATGTTTTCCATTTAGGCCAAAATTTGATGTTGATATTATAACTAAATGACTAAAATTGCTTGTTTTTCTACAGAGTTTCTTGGCGTCTATATTCTTAAAGAAGATTCATCCATCTCCCCAGTCACAACGTTTTCAAGTGTTTGTACACTAGCTGCAGGACTTGATCCTTATTCTTGCTTTGCCTTTCTTTTTGAGAATCTGAGAGAATAGCCCCATAATGTCTAAGTTTTCTCATTCATCCCTAAGCAGAGATCTGCCTGATCAACGCAGACGAGATGCATCCAGAATGGGCCTTCTCTCAAGTGATCAGCCTTTATCATCTGGCTTTGGTCGATTGGGCCAAAGCTCTGGTCGTATTTCCAGCTTGATGGACCTAGGTCCAACCTCTAAAATGGGCCCGCAAGGATCCCGTGGTATGCTGCCCTCTGGCTCCTCTTCTCAAAACTTGCCATCCATTTTAAGCCTTGGTGGCAGGGGTCCGCCACCTTTGTCTTCTCAACCATCCAGAGATCCTGATCAGGCCAGTAAAATATTGGCCAGCTTTGGTCTTTCCTCTAGTGACTTGGATGAATTAAGTCGCTATCCAGAGGAAAAGATCACCGCTGAGAATTTGCCTCAGATTATTGAGCATCTTAAAAGGAGGAGGGCAGAAGATGTTATGCTAAGGAGAGAGAGACTGTCTCGCGATACACTGAGACCTTCACGCGATGACTGGGATGACCTCAGGCCCTTCAGAAGAGAGAGTTTTGATGATCGCCCCTCTAGTCTCAATCCTGTGGTTGACCATAATCATGGGGGCCGCTCTCGAGAACTTGCTTATCGAGAGAGATTGGATATGGATGAACGGTTAAGAGATCGTGAGAGGCTTAGAGACGACAGATTCTTATCCGAACCCCCTTTTCGTAAGCTCGATAGTGACTATGATCGCTTGGGTTACGCTCAGCCACAAGAGAGATCTATGTTTGAAAAGTCAAGAGGAATGCCATCCGGTAGAAGTTTTGATGATTTCCATGGCCTTACGCCTAAAGTGTACCCCCATCTCTGTACTCTGTGTGATATACCTTGCAATTCCTTTAAGGTGAGTTATCCCCACCCCCATCTCATCCCTAAGTTCTGAAGTCTCTATAGATTTTAGTTTTGGTATCATGCAAGGGGTGTGACTTTCTCTTATCTGTTTATAATCATGATTGGTTTGCTTC